ATCTATCTATCTATCTATCTATCTATCTATCTATCTATCTATCTATCTATCTATCTATCTATCTATCTATCTATCTATCATCTATCTATCCTCCATCCCAGCCTTCCCCCCTATTTCTCTCTCCCTCCCTCCCTCTCTCCCTCTCCTTCCAGTGTAACCTACAACATGAAGAGGTCTCTTAATACCAACAGAACCAAAACCACATCTGATCCCATAGAAGGTCATCCAGGTTCTACCACTAAGCCTCATCTGCTTCCTTTGAACAAGTTTTGGGGACACCTTTGGGTCTGTGGAGAGGTCTTTGCTGGTTTCGCCCCATAGCACCAAGCGCTATTGTCTCCTGTCCCTTTGGAGAGGAGTGGACATCAAAATGGCTCTGTAGGTATAGTGAGATGGTGTCCAGTTGGGCACAGTGAAGATCTGCAAGGGAGATGTTTCTTTAACCCTTGACTCCACTTATTTCAGTAGGCAAAATTTAGCAGGGGACTTCAAATGTTTTTGGTGCTTAATTCTAGCTGGCATGCCAAAAATAATAATAATAAACCCAGTAAGATCAACCTTACCTACAATTGACATGATCACAACCACCAGATCGAAAATATTCCACCCGTTGATAAAATAGTAATGTCTCAGGGCCACCAGCTTCATGGCACACTCAGTTGTGAACAGGGTGATAAAGAGAATGTTAATCTTGTTCAGGACATACAGTTTCTCCTGAGATTGGTCATCTGCTTCCACCATCATTGTAACCATGTTAAGGCAGATGAGAGTCATGATGGCAATATCGAACACTTGGTGAGTCACAATATCAAAAAGGAATCCTTGGTACTTGTTCTACAGGCAACAGGGGGAAAGAAGAAGAGAAGCCAGCTTACTCAGGATTTAATATAAGATTAGTTAGAGATTTGTAGCTCAGGATTGAACTGTGAGCCTTGTGGTGCCCTTTGAGTTTGATTGTTTTTTGCAGTTGTTTCATGACCCAACAAGGTAATATCATCAGTGGTAGAAGGGAGTGGGGTTTGCTGAGAGGTGGAGGTGGAAAAGGAGGAGGAGGAGGAGGACAACGACTCTGGGGTCTTTTGTGCTCCCTGAACTTGGTTGTTTGCTTGCAGATGTTTGATGGTGTTACCTAGTTGGGTAATGTAATGTCTTTAAGCAAACAACCAAGCTCAGATAGCACCAAGGACCCCACACACCAGAAATATATTTGGGGGGGAAAGTGTATTGATTTTGCAGAAACCCAAATCATATAAAGCACCTTTCTACCTTTCATTTTAATAGTCGTTTATTTTTCAGACTTGCAGAACAAAAAATAGTTGTGACTACTTTAATGACTCTGCTCATTAAAATTAATGCAACTTTTATAAAGCAGTTGAAACATTTGTTTCGGCTCATGCTGAAATTCCTTTAATGATAGCAGAGGCCCTCTGCTATCACTTTCTCCAAATTCTTTCCAAAGCAAGCCCAGCCGTACTCATTATTTTCCAAAACCAATCCCAATAATTTATGTCACAATCAAACGCAATCAGGAAATAAACTCTTGGTGCTTCAGTGTTATTTTCTTATCTGTGTAACAAAGGACTGCTGTCTATAGTAATTACAACTTTGACTTAGTCTTCAACTTACGGCCACAACTGAGCCCAAAATTTCTATTGTTAAGGGAGACATTTGTTAAGCGAGTTTTGCCTCATTTTACGATCTTTCTTGCCACAGCTGTTAAGTGAATCACTGCAGTTCTTAAGTTAGTAACACAGTCATTAAGCGAATCTGGCTTCCCCATTAACTTTGCTTGTCAGAAGGTCGCAAATGGGGATCACATGATCCCAGGGACATTGCAACGGTCATAAATATGAGCCAATTGCAAACGTCTGAATTTTGAACATATCATAGGGATGCTGCAACAGTCGTAAGTTTGAAATATGGTCATAAGTCCCTTTTTTCACTGCCATTGTAACTTCAGTCACTAAATGAACTGTTGTAAGTTGAGGAGTACCTGTATTACAGAGAAAGTTATGCAAAAGGGGAAAAAATCTACTGATCTTCTTTAGGGCAGAAGTTCATCCTTCTAACCCTGGGAAAAGGTGGTGAATTGCTGGTTGATTATAAATTTGATTATCCTATCTGTACTGAAATTTCTGCCACTTCTAATGGAGAATCTCAACCCTGAGATTTATTGGCTCCCTCTCCATCTGGATTACTGCAGTATGCTCTACATGGGGCTGCCTTTGAAGGCCACCCAGAGACTTTAATTTTCACAGCAAGGCCTATGTAACTTCGACGTGTGAGCTGCACTGAACTGAGGTTTCAAGGATTAGGATTTTGTGATGACAGAATTGGCTTCAAATTTTGTAAAATGTAAAGCAAAAGACTGAGGCTGTATTATCTTTGTGATCTACTGCATCTATTTAAAAAAAGGGGTTAGGAATCTTTTTTCTTTCTTTCTCTCCTTCCCCCTTTCTCTTTCCTTTTCTTATTTTCCCTGACTTTTATTTCTTCTATATTTTTATCTTATATTGAAATTTAATAAAAACTTATTTAAAGATGGATCTACATCAGTCCGTTAAACATGACTAATAAGTATATAATGGAATAGAATAACAGAATTGGAAGGGACTTTGGAGGTCTTCTAGTGCAGTGGTTGCCAACTGGTGGGCCATGGCCCACTGGTGGTCCGTGAGAAAATTCTGGTGGCTCGCAGAGAAATCTCACCCCCAGAGCATCCCCCAAAGCAATTAATCCAGGCTGCGTGGGAACACAAGGCTGCACCGCTCACATCGCCTGCGGGAACCCTCTCCGCCCACTCACTCTTTAACTGGCAAACTTGCCTGCTAAATTGCTATTTTTCCATTGGATTTCTTGCTTTCTAGCTAATCTTTAGATCTTCAGCTCTGCAAAGCCGAACCTTCCTTAGGACTGAAGTTTCTATTATTCAGTACAGACTCAGGTAGCGGATGGCAGATAGATAGATCTCTGAATGAATCTGTGATTCTGTGAGCAACTCAATCTGCCTGCCTGCTTTGCCTGATTTTGGGTAAAAGTTGCTCTTTTTTAAATAAAAAAATTCAATATTTACATACATGGTGGGTTGTGAGTTAATTTTGTGAGTTTGCTTGCTAGCAAATTTTATGGGTTTGCTTGCAAAGCAAATTTTATGCGACAGATTTAGGTAGCCGATGGCAGAAAGATACTGAATGAATTCTGAATGAATCTGTGATTTTGTGAGCAACTCATTCTGCCTGCCTGCTTTGCCTAGTTGCTCTTTTTTATAAAAAAAATTCAATTATATATTTATAATATATAAATATAATATATAAATATAATAATATGTAAATATTTATAATATTTACATAAAAGCCATGCCCAGCCAGTCACATGACCACCAAGCCACACCCACAAATTAGGCCACGCCCACAGAACTAGTTGTTGGTAACTTTGAATCCCATCCCTGCCTCTGTGTGTCCGTGTGTGTGGGTGTGAGAGAGAGGGGGAGAGAGGGAGAGAGAGAGAGAGGTTAGATCAGATCTCTCTCTCTGTCTCTGTCTCTCTCTCTCTCACCCACCAACGTCAGCAAGCCACCATCAATTCATATTAGTGGTCCCCGGGATTTAAAATTATGAGTTTGGTGGTCCTTGAGGTCCAAAAGGTTGGCGATTCCTGTTCTAGTCCGACCCTCTGCTTAAGCAGGAAACCCTATACCATTTCAGATAAAGTAGATTGATTTGAAGTTGGTAGCCCTGTTCATTTTTGCAAGGTTATTCTACGGTAAACCTTTGGAGAGTATTCTTACCGTTGGCCTTGGTATAGGCTTCTGAGGTTTCTTTGATCCCAGTTTTTTCATAGCATTATAGTACTTTTTTTGTTCTTCTGTCATAAAGATGTCTTGCCCACCGAAGTACAAGGAGAAAGCACACAAAAAATACTACTGACTGTGCATTTTGCATTGTTTCAAAGCCAACAGCCTATTTTTGAAACATCACTCGTGTTTTCTTTTTTCAGAAGTCATGCTGAATTATTACAAACAAATCAAAAACTCTTTGCTAGTCTTATTGAAATCTTTAAGCTGTCCTAAAGCTAAGGTATCCTCTGTTCCAGATTTGCTATTTTGAGAATTAAGAATAAAAACATGGAAATGTTTTCATCTCAATGGTGTTTGCCTCCTAATATACATGGCCCAATTTTCCTGCCCTACAACAGAACTGAAATTTTCCAATTCCCCCGCCCGCAAAAAAAAAAGAGAATAAAACAGAAGATTTTTCTCCTTTGACATTCACAGAAAACTGAGCATTTTTCAAAATTTATTCCAAAACTGGAGAGGAAGAATCTGCAAGTACTGTATGTAAAAAAAACAACCCCAATTTTCTTTCTGCTAACAGGAGGAAAAAATGAATATAAATTGACTTTTTGATACCTTCCACCTACAGAAGGTCAATCAGGCATGGCTCCCTACTAAATCTTGAGATTCTCCTTTCCATTCAGCGAGCACAAAGCAAGACAAGAAACGTGGATACTTATCTTTTTCTTTTGTTGATTAAAATTGTCAATAATGACCCCCACAAAGAGATTCAGAGTGAAAAAAGAGCCAAAGATGATGAAAATCACAAAGTAGATGTACATATATTTGCTGTTCTCCCATTTTGGCTGAAGCTCAACCTGCAAAAGTGAAGAACAGAGGTGTGGCTTTTAGACTGGGGGTTGAAAACAAAAGCTAGCTGGTCTCTATAGCTATAGTCAAGAGCTGCGTTTGCTACAGAAGATCTCTTGGTGCAATCCGATATATGAATCAGCACAGATATTAATATTTTTCCACAGGCTGCAATTACATAAAGACGAGTGCTGTCTCTCATTATCTCGGAACAATTATTGTGAGACATGTGGAAGCAAGAAGCAAACACTTCAACAGTTCCTATTACCTAATCTCTACAGGTGGTCCTCAATTTACGACTGGTTGCATAACACTGTTCAGAGTTATGATGGATCCCCCACAAAAAGATACCTATCATCCAGATTCAACGTTCCAACATCGGGGGCCGCCATCCCTGCTGTCACATGATTACGTTTTAGGCAGTTTTGGCAATTGTCCCACATTTCAGATAAACAGAGTTGGAAGGGACCTTGTAGGTCATGTAGTCCAAACCCCTCCCAAGCAGGAAACCCTGCACCATTTCTGACAGAATGAAGCTCCCACCACTTCCGAAGGCAACTTCTGTTCTATTAATTTCTCCTTATTTCCAGATTGAATCTCTCCTTGATTAGTTTCCATCCATCATTCCTTGTCTGACCTTCAGGTGCCTTGGAAAATAGCTTGACCCCTTCTTCTCTGTGGCAGCCCCTCAAATATTCTGCAGTCATATAAACACAATTTGCTGTGTTTTGTTTTGTTTTGGTGGGAAACTGGTGCTTACTTCCAATTTATGGCAAAAATCTTCCCACTGGGGACAATAGGTTCACTTAACAACCCTGGTGTTTAATGACCACAAATTTGCTTAAAATGTCAAGTTGGCTCAGTCACATGATGATCCATTTAATAACTGGCCCAACTTTTGATTGCAAATTGCAAATTCAATTTTACAGCCATAAACCTGTGCCCTCTTTCCATTATTCCAGGAAACCAGACACAATGAGTCTGGTTGGTTCTCTTGTTTCTGCAGAATAGAAGAATAAGTTATATTAAATGCAGGATGCTTCACTTCAAAAATAGAGAGGTGCTTTATATTTTCCATTAGGATAGACAACAACAATGGCTTCTTTCAATAGCATCTTTTTCAACTCACAAATTTTATTCAAAATTCAAGCTCCCGAAATTATGGTGAGACAGTAATTCAGTCTCAGTTTGAAGAGGAACAATCTGCAAGTGGGTAATTACTGTGTAATTATTCAATTACTGCAAGGAAGGCTAGCAATGTCAAACTAATTTTAAAAAATTAGCAAGCCCTACATAATAACTTGAATTTCTACTTTGGCTTATCTGAAGCCTTCAGCTTTTCCATTAAGCTTCTCTCAATTGGCTCTTTTATTACAACAACCTGAACATTGTATACACATCTATGTAATATGAGCTAGTGTGGGAAGTTTGAAGAGTTGGGAAAACAACCCAAAATAAAGCAATAGCAAATCATTTCCATATTTCACCAAATAAAAGACACAGATATGTCCATGTGACCAAGAATGGAGATCAACTCAAAGGTGACATTACTTTATTGAGTTCTAGTTCTGCCTTAGGCATGAAAATGCTTGCGAGACTTTGAGCCAGACACCAGGAGACTGGGAGTTCTAGTTCCAACTTAGACATGAAATCCAGCTGTGTGACTTTGGACCAATCACCAGGAGAGGGAGAGTTCTAATCCCTCTTTAGGCCCTCCTAAAGAGCCCTCCTCATGACTTTCGGCCAATGACCAGAAAATGGTGAGTTCTAATTCTGCCTTAGGCATGAAAAACCAGCTGGGTGACTTTGGGCCAGTTCCCCTCTCTCAGCCCAACCCACCTCATAGGATAGTTGTTGTGGGGAAAATAGGAGGAGGAAGGTATTTTGGACATGTTTGCATCCTTGAGTTATTTGTAAAAATAATAAAGATGGAATAGAAATAAACAAAGGAGCGGTTTGGTGTTAGGAGCACTTTGTTTATCTTGGATTCCCACATCACTCTCCACTTGGTTAGTAAGACAGAAATTGAAGTAGGAGATGTACTGGGATCCAATTCCACATTTTGGAAGAGAAACACCCCCCACCCACCCACCCACAAAATCTCTCCTTCCTTCAGTTTCCCGTCCAATTACATTCCTCGTTCTGGAGCTTCTGTACTTGTGTTTCTTACGAATTCTGTGCCTCAAGCACAGAACTCAACAAGAAGAAGAATTTAGATGTCCAAACACAATATAATACAATCCCATTTTATACCAGTTTACAACAATCCCAGCTGAAGGGATCCCTTGTTTTGCACATGCCCTGGAAGGCTTGCATTTTATTTTGCCTCCTATAACATTCCCAGATCCCCATATATTCCCCCCCCTCCCCAAAAAAAGAACCCAAGAAATAAGCTGCATATGCCAGGTATTCCAGCAAAAGTCAAAATAGTGAAGATGGGAAGTGCAAGATGGGAGTGAGGTTCCTGCAGCTGAATAAGGCACCTACTAAGAACTGAGGGACAGAGGTGCGATGGCTCAGTGATTAAAGATACTGAGCTTGGCAGCTGGAAAGCTGACAGCCCAGGTTTGAGGTTTGAGCACTGCACGAAGGGTGAGCTCCTGTTATTCGCTCCTGCCCACCTAGCAGTATGGATGCAAGTGCTAAGAAAATAGGTACCACTTTGGTGGGAAGGCAACAATGTTCTATGCATCGCTTGGCACATAGTCACAATGGCCACATGACCACAGAAGCAATTTCGGACAACACTGGCTCCCTCAGCTAGGAAATGGAGAGGAGCATCAGCAGGGGTGGGATTCTACCAGTTCGCACCTATTCGCCAGAACCGGTTGTTAACATTCTAAGCAGTTCAGAGAACCGGTTGTTAGAAGAAATTACTGGGCTAATCCTGTAAGGAAGGCATGAAGGAAACATTCTGGGGTTGCTTACAGAAACTGCCTCTCCGTTAACCCTTATTACGTTCTTGGCAGGACTAGACTTCCTGTCTCAGGAACTTCTCTGGAGATTTTTTCCCCCCTCCTTTGCTGGTACTTTGCTTGTGTGGAGTGACCATTCAAAGTTACAATGGCACTGAAAAAAGTGACTTATGACCATTTTTCACACTTACGACTGTTGCAGCATCCCCACAGTCATGAGAGGCCAGGCGAGGAGATGCGTGCCTCGATATGAGTGATATTGAGTTGACCACACCCAGCCAATAACATGACCACCAAGCCATGCCCACCCAGTCACATGACCACCAAGCCACGCCCACCACCTAAGCCATGCCCACCGCCTAAGCCACATGCACAGAACCGGTTGTTAAAATTTTTGAATCCCACCACTGAGCATTAGTCCCTAGAGTCAGACACAACTAGACAGAGGAACCCTGCATCCTTATATAGGAGCTGAGGAAGTCCAACCTTTGACCAGCTACATTGCCAGTAACTGTAATGGGATGTGGAAATGACCTTGAGAGACCAGGCTAAGAGAAGCTACCTAGAAAATGGTCAGATAACAGAGAACATAGCCCACAGCTGCCTATTGGATGGAGCCAGTGGTGGGATCCAAATATTGTTGCCACTGGTTCGGTGGGCGTGGCTTGGTGGGTGCATGTGTGCACCAAACACACACTTTGAGCAGGCGCAGAGGCGTTCTAACTCACCTCCTGCAAGCCTGCACTCTCGTGGTTGCTTCAGCAGCTGTCGCGCAGCACTCTGCTCTCCCGCACAAAGCAGCTGCGCTTCAAATTCAGAGGATAAAGGTGAGTATGGGCACCTGGGCGGGCAGGTAGGCCTAACAGCAGAGTGGCAGAGAGAATCGGTTCGGTCTCCGCTGCTCATCTCTGCTACCAGCTTGGCAGAACCAGGCTGAACCAGTAGAATGCCACCATTGGATGGAGCAAGAAACTCAAGACGGACTTCCCTGAGCTACTGGACTGTTAAGGTGGCTTTATTACACACCAGAATTAGCTTATACAGCCATGTTTCCTGTTTGGTCCAACTGGCAGTTGGGGGTTGGTCTATATGGCAATATTCGTATTGGGATGAAGTTGAGGGAAAACAGACTAACTGGATTCAGGAGTGGGATTCAAATGTTTTAACAGCGTGCCTTTTTTGCATCAACCCTCCCCCTGCACTCTGTTTTTGGGTCTCCTGGGCCTCAGGGAAGCCTCCTGGGGGGTGGGGGGCATTTTTGCACCCAGGAAACTTCCCTGGGGCCCAAAAAGGCAAAAAAATGGAGCACGGGGGGGGCACGGAGTACACCCCCTCCATGCGCCCCTTTTCGCCTCCTGGGCCTCAGGGAAGCCTCCTGGATGAAGCAGTAAGACAGCGAGAGATCCCGGCACAGCCGATCGTCGGAACAGCTGATCATTGGGAGGAAAAGTAAAAAAAGAAATACCTTAATGAGTGACTGGGCGGGGGAGAATACAGCCAGCGATGTCGGGCATATATGCGATGTGGCGCATGCGTGATAAGGACTGACTGGGCAAGGAGGGGAGGGGCAGACGGAGGGGGAGGGGCCAGCCAGGGACACGATTTGCCAGTTCTCTGAACTGCACAGAATCGTAACAACTGGTTCTATAGAACTGGTCTGAACTGGTAGAATCCCACCCCTGACTGGATTCCCATAAGAACGTAGCACAAACTCCCACTCCTTATTTTAGTCTGCATATTAGTCACATTTTTTTTCCAGTGTGAGAAGAGTTCCTTCAAATGTAAATTGCACAGGTTTAGAATGGTTTCCCTAAACTACGTACGTATTTTCTTTCTCACTAAGTTAGGCATATATAGTGTGAAGAATAGTTGTAGAAAGCATCTGGATGTCACTATCCTCCACAGAGCCAAGGAGCAGCCTCATATTTCATCTGACATTAATTGTGGATGTGAACAGATATTTTTATTCATTTAATTTACTTTTTAATATCTCATCTTTATTATTTTTTATAAAAAAGCTGACAAAGATACTATTTTCTCTTCCTTATTTGGGCTAAGAAGAATGACTGGCCCAAAGAAGTCATGCCTATGGTGGGACTAGAACTCACCATCTCCTGGTGATTGGCCCAAATAGCAGCTTCCATGCCAGGAAGGACTGGAACTCCCAGCCTCTTGGTGATTGGCCCAAAGTCACCCAGCCAACTTTCATGCTTAGGGTGGGACTAGAAATCACCATCTCCTGGTTTCTAGCCTGTGCCTTAACCACTAGACCAGAAGTGGTATTCAGCCACTTCTGAAAGGTTCTGGAGAACCACTAGCGGAAATTTTGAGTAGTTCGGAGAACCAGCAAATCCCACCTCTGACTGGCCCCACCCCCATCTATTCTCTGCATCCCATTTGTCCCAGCTGATCGGCTGGGTCTTCTTTGGTTGCCCTGCACAAGAGAACGGATCTGGAAAGCAGGTTAGTGGGGTGGGGAGGGAATGGAGATCTTGCAGTATCCTTCCCCTGCCACGCCCATCAAACCACGCCCATCAAGCCACACCCACCAAGCCCCCCAAGCCATGCCCACAGAACCAGTAGTAAAAGAAATTGAATACCACCACCGCACTAGACCAAAATAGCTCTTGAAAGATGCCTTTATATTGCATTCCAACTGGACAGAGAAGGGCACCGTTGGTTAGTATTAACACAAGAAATAGAAAATAAATTTCTCTAAGACTTACTCCTGTTGAATCAACTGCTGCATACATTATATCCATCCAACCTTTAAAAGTTGCCTAAAAGAAAATAAGAAAAATTGATGAAATAATTGCTGCAATATAAAGAAGCTGTTGGACAATAGGCAAATGATAAAGAGCTGAAGGGTTTGCATTAGTCTCTATTCAGAACATTTTGGAGATAAACACATCTGTGGCTTCTTATTTTTTCTAATTTTAACCAATCAACTTTTTATTTTTTATTCAAAACATTAAAATACAAGCTCCAAAAGTGAAAAAAATATAAAAACAAAGCGAGACTAGCAAACACACACACAAAGAAAATAAATGCACAAAAACATATACATAAATATTTACATACATATACATACATATTTTTAACATTTTGAATTAAAAAAAAGTATTGGTTAAAAATAGACACCTGTGGCTCCTGAATTTGAAAAATATAAGAATGTCCACAAGTTATATTTGTCTTCTAGAGATTTTTATCCATAGACTTTTCTTGAGAAGCTAATCAGTTTATTGTTGCTTTCTAACATTATTTTTTAATTTCCCAGGCAAATCTACCTTGTTGAGATTCCCAGGTAGAGCCTCAACTAAGTACTAACCCAAACTAAGCCTACTTAGCTTCTGAGACCAGCCAAAAGTCTAGAAGATGCTGACCTTTTAGCTTATGCCTGGAGTGTCCAGGCTTGGCAACTTTAAGACTTGTGGACTTCAACTGCCAGAATTTTGATCACATTGTCCTGTATGCTATGACAGTCATTAAGTGCAAGGACAAATTGTATATACTTTTTTTTAATAATATTAAACTTGAAGGCTATTTTTCTGCAGGATTCAAGTTTGATGCATTCACCACAAAGAATATTAGTGCATGAAGAAGAAAAAATCATGTTTGGGACTATTGGTTGATCAGCTGATCTACTTCTAAAACTTGCATGAACAATGAAAAGCCGAGTACAAGTTAAACAAGCATGTAACTAAATTAAGGCTGAAACAGGAGGATAAATCTGCAAGTGGTCAGGTAGGACGGGGTAGTTATATGTGTGTGGATGAAAGAAAGAAAGGAAGATCACACGAATTCTCAAACCTACCACTTGAAGAAGAGCCAAATAGCCTAGGCCAACATTATCAAAATTCACTTTAACGGTGGTCCAATACAGTTGTCCCGTGCTGTTTTTATTCTTGCAATCAGACTTCCGCAAAATGACACTTTCGTTGATAACGCTATTTGTTTCAGTCCGGTTAATGCATTTTCCAAATTTTCCAGCAAAGAGGCTGACTCCGACAATGCTAAAGATGAGCCAAAAAATCAGACAGACAAGCAGCACGTTCATAATGGAAGGAATGGCTCCAAGTAAGGCATTGACCACCACCTGCGATGCAAGGGGAAAGAAGGGAGGGAGGGAGGGAGACAGAAGGAGGGAGGAGGGGAGGGGAAGGAGGAGGGGAGGGGAGAGAGA